CCCCGACATCACGCGTGGCTTCCGTCGGGCCGGGGCCGAGACGCCACGTGGGGCCGGCGGCACCAGCGCGGGGGCTGCAGGTGGACACACCGGCCACCGGAGAGCAGGTGCACACACCGGTGTCACTCCAGCGTCCATGCCGGCCGGGAGGTGCGGCCTGACCTGGAATCGGGGGGCCTGGGGAGGGGCCCGGCCGAGCAGCCGGCTCCAGAGGCGCGAACCCTCCCGCCGGGGCCACCCAGAAGCGCCTCCTGCCCTCGCGGCATCCGGGCGTCGCTCCTCATAGCCCGCCTGGTGGGCGGGAACTGGCAGGATGCGAGCGCCAGACTTGGAAGTGGCGAGAGACGCGGCTCTCGGCGCAAGGAGGAGGGTGGCGGGGCGGCGGGGGGGCCGAGCGCCCGGGCTGCCGGCCAGTGGGCGAGGACGTGACCTCGGGACAGCAGGACCCCACTCCCGAGGGGCTCAGCTTCCGGCCTGTTGTAAGGAGGAGCCTGATGGGCCTCGTGTCCACCCGGCAGCCTGAGGCGCCCGCCGGGAGGCTGGGGGTGGGCACAGGGTCCCGGGGAGGGGGCGCGGGTGGGCTCTGGACAGGACAGTGGGGAGAGACCAAGGGGGCAGTTTGGTCTCCCCATCTTCTGCGGGTGGTTCTGGGGAACTCAGAGGAGTCCCACTGACCACTGGGGTGTCCAGGTAGGCGCTCCATTCCGACCATCAGCTGGGAAGGAGGCTCCAGGGTCTGGCCCTCGAGACCCACCGGAGTGCCTCTGTGGGGCCCAGGCCGGCCTCCCCCACTGTGGCTGCAGGGGACAGAGCGGGTCCGAGGGCGGAGGGCGGGGCTGGAGCGGGGCGGGGGCCAGGCCCGGCTGCTCAAAGGCCGACGGGCCCAGGCCAGCGGCCAGCCCGCAGACCGCGCCAGGGAAGCCTGCGTGGGGCCGCTCGGGCCGAGGGGCGCTGGTGCTGGCGGCTGATCCTGGTCCCCTTCTTGACGGTGTTGTGACAAGGTGGCAGCACACACGTCACCTCTGACTCAGAGAGTCCCCCAAGGGCACCCCACGAGCCCCCGTGACCTCGTGCGGGAAGCAGGAGCAAATCGGGCTTCCAGCCAGCAGGGAGGCCGAGGCTGGGATCGGGGCCCGTGGGGTCAGGGTCCCCAAGACGGCTAGCTGGGACCCCCAGCTCTCACGCTCCGGGCCCCGGCCCTCGGGGCCACACACGGCGCAGACGCTGTGCGGGGCGGGCGGGGGGCTCGGCAGCTTCCCAGTGCACCCCAGGCCGCCACCCCGCCTGGGCGGCTCCCAGCCATCTGGCTCGGCCCAGAGTGGGGCCTGAGCGACGGCTCCC